GGGGGGGGGCGGGGGGGCCGGGGCGGGGCTACCGCGCACCTGGCTCCGCGCACGTGGGCTCGGGCCGCCCCGGACCCGCCCGCCAGGGGCCGCGCGCCGCTCGCCCCCGCCGGTCCCCCGAGCCCCGCGGGCCGGGGCGCTTCCACGTCCCCAGGGAGGGGCGGCGGGGCCCGGGCGGCGCCGGGGAGGCGGAGCCCTGGGGGGGGCGGGGGCGGGGGCGGGGGCCGGCCCCGGGATAAAAGCGCGGCGGAGGCTGGTCCGGCCCCAAGCGGTGGCCCTGCGATGTCACTAGTGCTGCTGAGCCTGGTCGCACTGTGCTGGGGTGCAGCGTCCCCGGAGCCGGTAAGCCCCCAATTGCGTCCCTTTCCTGCGTTAGCGTCCCTTGAACCCGGACCCCGGACCCCGACGGCGTCCGTCGCGACTGCGGCTCATGTTTCTCCAAGGCTGAGGACACTTTAGAGGGGGCGCGTCAGCATCCTCTGGGGCAGCCCAGCTGGCCCGGCCAGACAGACACCGGGCGTCAGGCTGCCTGAGTCAGGGGCGTGGGAATCAGACAGACCAGGGCTCAAATGCATCGTGTGCTGCTGATTGAGTCATTTACTCTCACTGGGCCTCGGTGTCCCCTTCTGTAAAACGAAAGCAATACTTAACTCCCCAGGGTCTAGTGAGGAACAGCGACAGCGCCTGGCACAGTGTGGGGTCCCAGTACTGTGCCTGGGGCCGTGAGGTGTGCTCACGTTGGGCACAGGACTACCTCTATTCCAACGGCCGACTTTGCCACTTTAATTCATAATGTGTTGGTTCCCTCGGGAACTCTCCCGCAGGTTTCCCACTGTGCCTTGAAGGAATGAGGGAATCCTCTGGTCACTAAAGGAGAAAAAGCTCGTCCCCCCAACATCACTGCAGACTATAGCCCTGTCCTCTCCGCGGCACAGAGCATAAAAGCACGGCGGGTACCTGCTGATGGCTATGGAAAGCCAAACCCCGTTACTGAGCTGGGTGTCTTCCGCTACTATCCCTCCTTGGCCTTTTCCCCTGGAGGAAGATTCACACGCCTTTGCCATAATTGCTGTAAGGCCAACAGCTCGAACTCCGAACTCCGTAAAGTTCATAGCTGTTGCTTTGCTTCTTCTAAAACTTGTCTTACAGCCGTTTGACAAGAACTTAGCTCCCACTACGGTGGCTTGTTTAAAAAATGTGTGGCGGTATCCCTTGGAGGTCAGCTTTAAAAAGCCAGAGAAAAACAACTGGCCATTTCACCCAAACCCAGACATTCAAACCATCGAAAGTCTTCCTGTCTTACAGGGTGGTTGGGAACTCCTAGGCAGAGAGGGGTCAGATTAGAAGGACGGTGGGTTTAAGTATAGGGTCTTGTCACTGGACCTTCTGCTGCCTGCATGTTAAATACTTGAGGCCCTAGTGTTTTATTCCAAATCAAGGTACTAATTATTTTTTTTCTAAAAAGACATGAGCAGCTGACTCCAAAGGATTTAGTTCTGGCTTCTCTTGGACACTGACGTTATATTTTGAAAGCTATTGCACAAAGATAACATGATGAAATCACAACTGCATTATAAGTTCCTAAATGGCGCAGGTGAGTCCTTCTGTACTAGAAGAGGACTATTTTAAAGGACGTGGGACGGCGCCGAGGGCTGCATTCATACGTTCTTCTGGTCAGTTTCTTAGCACAGGCAGGCCTTCACCTGGGGAAAATCAGAAAGTGCTCCAGACCACGTGGAAGGCCTACAGGCAGGCAGACGTCAGAGTGTGGAGGGGCCCTCAGGACGGCTTGTACCCCGGGAGGCTGAGCGCAGAGGGTGGGGATCCACCGCTGGACTTTAAATGAGGTGATGAGCAGGCTTGATCACAGCCCACAGTGGGGCAACGTAGTCTCCCCCAGACTGTGGAGTGGAACCGGCTCAGTCTTTCTTTCGAGTGTTCCTCACTTATACATGCATTTAAGGAAGAAGATGGTGTTTTGTCTAACTTGGCAAAGGAAGGTTGTGGTTTGCCAGCATTCAACATGACACCTGGTTTCTTTCTATCTTGCAGACGATTCAGTGTGGCTCCGAAACCGGTAGGTGGGCTAGGGAATGGGTATCCGGGGCCTTACACTGAAAGCCCAGCTGGACATTTAGGGGGCTGGCTCCAGGTGGGGGTCGCTGGAGACCAGGTGTAGCGGGGACCCTGCTCTCTCAGTGGATGCAGGGGGTGCCTGTGTGGCCAAGGCAGAGCTCCAGTGTTTCAGAGGGGCTGGATTCGCGGCCAGGAGGAGGGGCACCGGCAGGGCAGGAGTGGCTGTGCCAGGTGGAGAGCGAAGCCTGGCCGCCCTCGGAGGGAGATCAGGGCTGCAGAGGGAGGCCACACGCAGTCACAGGAACAGGAAGTGGGTATTTTAAAGGAGATGGCGGTGTTTGAAGCATGCCCAGGGAACGTGGGTGGACAGAATAAGCTGGAGGAGAGATGACACCCTCTCAGATTAGGAGGTGGGAGTCATGTGGGCAGCTGGCTGGAGTCCAGGCCGAGGTGCGGGGAGGGCAGGACTGACCCTCATAACACGTCCAGTACACGGACTGCGTGCATACGTGCATTGGCCCTGGAGTGGCCCATGTGCTCTGCAGGTGGGGCCAGGCGGTTGAACATCACCTTGGCTATGAATCAGCAGCCCTGAGACGTGCCTGGCCTGCCTCAGCAGGAGGAAGGGATGCGTCGTGAATGAGTGACGGGTCAGGGTGGGTCACTTAGAGATGGCAGCGCATCGGGCCCGGAAGGACGGCATCAGGGGCAGTCTTGCCTTCTCCCAGGCCCGTCCCCAGAGTGGATGGCCCAACACACTCTGACCCCTGGAGACTTGCGGGAGCTGCGAGTGGAACCCGTCAAAAGCAATGTGACAACAGAGGACTATTCAGTTCTGATGAACGTGAGCTGGGTACTCCGGGCAGATGGTAAGTGTGCATCAATCAAAGGTAAGTCCTGATGTGCCTAATAATGCAGAAATGTGCGGACTATGGGACCCATTAATTCCACTCCAGCCCAACAGAGTATATGCACCAAAAGCCACATACTAGGATGTTCGTAGCGGCCTTATTCCCAACAGCCAAACAATGGAAAGCACTCAAAAGCCTAAATCACATGATGGAATCCAACACAAATGAGTATGAATGACCCACAGCTGCACACAATACGGATGAGTATATTCACAGATGTAAGAAGCCAGTTCAAAAGAGCCCACATGTTCACACTTGCGTGAGCACCTGTAACTGTACATACCACTTGACTCCATTAACAAAGTGCAGGACAAGCGAAACTACTCTGGGCCTTTAGGAGTCGGGACCACAACTCGTCTGGGGAGGGGAGTGGCTGAAAGGAAGATGGGGGCGCGCCTGACTGTCTCTGGGCCTGGGCACTGGCTACATGAGTGTGAGCGCTCATCGGGGGTGTGCTTGTGGTCAGTGCCCTTCTGTGTGCCGTGTTATCCATGGGAGGAAACAGGGAAGGCCAGAGATGAGCCCCAGTTTAGGCAAAGTGCTGGTCAGGTGATTACGGCACCACTTCCCAAACGGCCTCATGAAAATCCTGGCATTTCCCCAAGGTAGCTCGGGGGTTCTTCCCATGTGCCAATCCTGGGGTCCTAAAGCCCCCATCTGTGGTTTCCACATGCTAAATTCAGTTTAATTCCCTCTGGTCAGGAAACCTGAGCTGAGTCGGCTGCAGTTTCTGCTGGGGTGGGTGGGGGTGCTCAGCCGAGTGGGAGGGGGCAGGACTTTACACTAGAAGTGCAGGAGGGTGGTGGGCCTTGGGGAGGTGGCGAAGGGGAGGGAAGGGCTCTCCAGAGAGGATCCGCGTGGGCAAGGCACAGCCAGAACAGGCGTGGCTTCGTGATGACGTTCTGGAGGCCTTTCCTCTTCAAAGGCCCAAAATGCTGCAGAGCCAGGGTCAGCTCTGCAGGTCCCTGTGAAGCTGAGACTCGTCTGTGAGGAGGACAGAGCTCGGCCTTTAGGGTTTGAATCTGTATTCTAGGGCTGCTGGGCTTGGTCAGCTTCGGCAAAGCTCCCTGAGATGCCCTAAGCCTCACTTGCCACATCTGTAAACCCGGGGCAACGGTGGCACCTACCGTCTGGACTGTTGTGAATCTGAGCGGAGGTGTTGCATGTAAACTCTGGCATCCAGTCAGCTGCATAGCACGTGCTAAATGAGCTGCCCTCTTGCCCATCTCTGCAGCCAGCATCCTCTTGCTGAAGGCCACCAAGGTCTGCGTGACAAGCAGAAGCAAGGTCCGGTCCTACTGCTGCGTGAGGTGCAATTACACAGAGGCCTTCCAGACTCAAACCAGACCCTCTGGTGGCAAAGTAAGCACTCGGAGGCGCTTGGCGAACTGTGGCTGAAGCCCGGCCCCTGGCCTGGGGAGGTCGGCTGCCGTGCGCACATAGGCGGGCGAGCAGCCACGACGTGGAGCCTGGAGCAGGACGCCCCCATCCCATCTGGGGCCCCTTGTCTGCCGTAGGCCTTGGGCACATCAGCATCACTGGGCCTTGGTTTCCCCATGAGCCAAGTGAGGGAGCTGAACTTAAATTATACCCTGGCTCTAAAATTTGACACTTCTCTGAGTTAACACTGGCAAAAAGTGTGGAGTTCATCCCCTTAAGTAGACACGGGCCTAGAGTGTCAGGCTCAGCTGTCGGTTAAGGAAAGAGATTGTAAATGGCAAGGGCAGAACAGAGGGGTATGACATTTCTGCCCTGCGTGTTTTGGAAACTCAGGGGTTCCTGCTTTGCCTTTCAGTGGGCGTTTTCCTACACAGGCTTTCCGGTGGAGCCGGACACGCTGTACTTCATCGGGGCCCATAATATCCCCACTGCAAACATGGATGGCGACAGCCCCTCCATGTCTGTGAATTTCACTTCACCAGGTAATAAGCTTCCCAGTTCTGCTGCCATTCTCTGTCCTGCTGGGTGCTTGCCCTGGGGTGCATCGTCTGGAGCAGAGGAGCTGGGGTACCCTGGACACAGCATCTTAGTTCTTTCACCTATAGCAGGACCGGTAGTGACTTCACCTCACCCAGAGGGGCCGAGAGCCCGGAGTCACCAAATGTGGGGAGAAGCCCACTGCTGTGGGTCAGGCCCTGTGCTGAGCGCCTGACATGCATCACAGCACCGATGCTTCCGACTCCCCCACAGTGGGACAGCCCCATTTTACAGCTGAAGGGATTGTGAGCGTCAATTAACTTGCCCTGGGTCACCATGTAGTCAAAGTGAAGCTGGCCATTCAAACTCTGGTCCTTGATCAATGGCTTTAGCCATTCTTTGTCAATGATGCAAAATATCTGTCCCAGTCTCAGCTGCCTAACAGGCTGTGTTGTTTAACAACGTGCAGCTGGGTCTCTGAGGATGCTGGGACTCTGGTGGGCTCGTCCCCAGCTGTCAGTGAGAGGCAGGGTGGCACCGCACTGAGTCCCTTCCCTGCGCTATAGCTCCCAGTCAGACCTCCAGTATCCCACCTGCGCTGTCACACACAGGGCTGTAGAGAGGGCGACACAGGACAGTGCGGGTGTGTGGAGTTCCCGCGCTCCCTGCACCTAGGCCGGCTCACCTGCTCTCACCGCACACCTGTCTCTGCCTCTGGTGAAGCATCCAAGTCACATGGGGCGATTTCCAATTCCTTGTGGTTGGGGATTGTGGTCCACGAGGCTCTTGGTGCCGCACCATTTATTATACAATAGTATCCAGGTTTCCTGATGAGACCAAACCTCATTTTAAAAATATAAACATTTTATTTGGGGATAATTTTAGATTTACAGGGAAGTTGCAGATAGTACAGAGAGCTCCCACATAACCTCCCACCAGCTTCCCTCATCATTAACAAGTTACTGTGGGACAGTGGTCAACACTATGGTATGTTTCTGTTAACTAACTTTGACTTTTGATTCACCTGCTTTCCCACTGCTGTCCCCTCTGCCCCAGCTGCATTCAGTATCTCATGTCCCCTCAGTCTCCTCTGGCCTCTGACAGTTTCTGAGTCTTTGTTCTTCACGACCTTGGCTGTCCTGGGGGCTGGCCAGGCGTCCTGTACGATGCCCCCCGTCTGGGCTTGTCTGACATCTGTTGTCATGATTTAACTGGGGATGTGGGTTTGGGGAGAGAATCCTGCAGAGGTGGGTGGGTGCCCTCATCACATCCTATCAGGGTGGGAGACACCCACACACCACCACTGCTGGTGTCTCCCCGTGTCACTCGGTTAGGTGGTGTCAGCCAGGCTTGTCTGTGTAACTTCACTGTTTTTTCCTCTTCCCCTACTCTTGTTTTTACAAACAAGTCAGTGAGTGTACCCCACCCTGGGATGGGGGACACGGGGGTGCATGAAGATCCACCTCCTGAAAGGGGCAGTATTTATATATCTATTACCAAACCTCATTTTTAAAGGATGGTTTAAGTCTTCTCCTGGGGATCACAGATACTCTTTGATAAAGGCTGTATTTAAATTAGACTGGTTATCACTTTGAGTAGATAATCTGTTTAACAGTAGAATGTTAGCATCCCATTTAAACCTGCTATCTTGAGCTCATGTCTTCAATGTCCTGGCAGCTTGGTGTACGTATGGCGAGCATTATGTATGTGTAGACTTGTTAGCAAAGAGGTGGAGAGATAACTTATTCTAAAATGTAAAAACTTTATTCAAATTTCCAGGCTGCCTTGATCACGTAATGAGATACAAAAAAAGGTGCATTGAGGCAGGTAAGTAAATACAGAATTTACTTCTGTTACTAGAGTAAACTCATAATTTGAGCCATACACCTCAATCCATTTTTCCATGAAGAAACTGAGCCCTCGAGAGGGGGAATTATGTGTCCAAATCGCACAGCTGGGGAAGGCTGATCCCCGGCCAGTGCAGTGCCCAGCGACCAAGCAGCCTGTCCAGGGAAGGACAGACTCCCAGGTTTACACAGTGAGCCACAACCAGAGAAAAACACCCAGCCCTTCGGAGAAGCTGACCGTTCAGCTCCAACTGTGCTGAGAGTGGTGCCGGTCGAAGGCCCTGCCTGCTCAGACACCCGTGTCACTGGCCTATGGTGTGGGGGCCCTGAGAACCTTCTGTCCTGATGAGCAAACATTCAAGGAGGGAGTGTCTGCTAGCGTGATGACGTGGAAGCATGCTCTCACCTGTGCTTCATAGGGGTTCCTCTCTCACATGCCAGACTGTTAGGGTCTGCCCCTCCCCTTCCGGACTCTCCATCCCCAGTGTCCAATTTCCAAGGATTTGTGTGAATTTCTGGGTAATACAGCCTCAGGATGCTAAGGAGGCTGTGGGCGTTTGGGGGAATAGGCACCCCTACCCGACACGGCATCGCTGTGTACCTGGGCAGACTGCCGTCTTGCTGGAAGGCTGACTTGGAGCCCTGGGCTTCCTCTCTCACCGCCCCCCGAGAGATGGGGTATGGGGCACACTGCAGGCCGGAGGAGCTCTGAGCACCTTCCGTCGGTCCTAGACCCGAATTTAAGACAGCTCTGAGCTACGGCCTGAAACGGCCCTAGATGGGAAGAGTACACAGGTCGTCACGTGTCATAGCCCTGCAAACCACTGTAGTGCCGATTTGCAAGTCACATGAGCGAAATGGCCTTTTCATGTAGAGCGGCCCTATTAGGGTCTCCCCTAAGCTATAAGGCATTTCCTTATTCGTTCCCATTCAGTGAAGCTGGCAGGTTGGTGTGATGGATGAAGCTCCTGGAACTCAGAATGTTCTAGCTGCTGCAGTCCTGACCCTCAGCTCACCTGCTCTGTGACGTTAGACGTGTCTCCTAGACTGTGACTCCTGGAAAGGAGGAAATACTGACCCAGCCCTCACCTCAAAACGGACATTGAGACTAGGCGGGTTGTGCCTCCCGCCACCTCCGGCCTAGGGAAGCTGCTTTAGCAAAGCAGTGACACGGCCCCCCCTTATTCTTTTGTTTTTTTTTTTTTTTGTTTTTTTGTTTTTTTTGATATATTTTTTTTATTGTGTGGTGGAGTCTGTTTCCCTCAGATCGGTGTCTGAGAATGTAGATTCGTTTCTGTCACGGCCTTCTGGAGACTTAAGGGGAGTCTGCAACGTCATGTGATTCTCTCTCAATGCGCAGGAAGTCTGTGGGACCCGCACATCACTGCTTGCAAGAAGAATGAGACAACAGTAGAAGTGAACTTTACAACCAGTCCCCTTGGGAACACTTACATGGCTCTCATCAAAAATAAAAGTGTACTTGGGCTTTCTTACGTATCAGAGGTACTTTCCCCTCATTTCCTTAACAGCAGCTCTGTCCTCAACCTCCAGTTTTCCTTAACCTTGCCGCAGTAAACTGCAGGCACTCTGGGACTTCCGGGACAGGCTTTCTTCGGAGAGAGACAGCGGGACAGTCTATTGTCCGAATGTGCTGGGCTACGTTAATTCAACAGAGAAAAACCAGGCCCTGGGAGCATCCCTGGTGAGGATGCAGTAGGAAACCAAGAGCAGAGGCGGCAGGGTACGGAATGAGCCCTCATCCACCCAGCCTGACGGACTGGACGCCGGCCACGGGCAGCTCCTCCCTGGCAGTCGGCGATCTTCTCTCTCGCATGGCTCGTAATTCTTGGTCTCACTTCTCCGCAGGACAGACTGACTCGAACTTCGGTGGCGATTCTAGTGAGCGGGGAAAGCGAAGGTGCCGTAGTCCAGGTGAAGGTCCCCGTGGGGTGCGGTGGGGGGCCAGGAGAATGACTGACCGCTGCTGGCGAGCCCCTCCCAGCCGGCCCCTGCAGCAGGCTCACACCGAGGGAACGGGGAACCCCTCGGGACCTACCGCAGGGAACCCAGGAAGCTGGCCGTGCGGTCACGGCCCCGCTGCTGCCTTCCCCAAGTGCTTCTATTTCTATCTCAGAGCCTCACAATAATTCTGAGATAGGAGTACCATTTTATTTTCAATTTTACCTGCAATATGAAGCGACAGAGGATTTAAAATCAGGTTTGGGTTCCTAATTAGTGTAGGAACTCTGAAAGCCAACTGCCTGTCCTCGCAAGGCTACTGCACTCACCTGGAAAACAGAAAATGGACGAGTAGGTGCTCTCAGGTCTCTTGCAATTCTGAGTCTATGACGTAGGGCCGTGGCAGGACCCAGAGGGACGCAGCCACACCCGAGCGCTAAGGAGTGCTGGATTTTCCTTCCCTGGAACATAAAGGCTCGGACACGTCAAGGGAGCTGACGCTCTCCGCGTCTTATGACTGCACCCTTTTTCCAGGGAACCAGACTTCCTAGGCCCAGGGAAGTCGTATGTCAACAGGAGCTCTACCGCTCTGTTTTTTAAGAGGAAGTATTTGTATATGTACTAGGAATGATCTCACCATTTTAGATAAGGAAACTAACAGGTGAGCAGCATGTACAAAGTTTAAATTCACAACCCAGGAGTCACAGAAGGTGTTTTGGGCTTGGGTCACTGGTCTGGATTTTAGGATTTTATTACAGAAGTGTGACTAAGACAAAAAAATGTCCTATTATAATGCTAGAAACGGGGGAGAGTTTTGGCTGAAGCAGAAGTAATGCAGAGATACATACACACTATTTGCTCCAGGTGTGGTGGGGACTCCCTGAACCTCTCCTCTCCCCACAGCTGACCCCCTATTTCCAGACTTGCGGCAACGACTGCATCCGACGCAAAGGAGCTGTCGTGCTTTGCCCACAGGCAGATGTCCCCTTCCCTCCGGATAACAGTAAGTGCCAGTCACTGCCGCAGGATGTTTAAAGGGGCAGGGTGCCTGTGGGGAGTGTGAGGGAGAGAGTGCCTGCCTGCCTGGCGGGGCGCTGGGGTGCAGAGGAAGGTGGCCGTGCTGTGCCAGAGAGCCTGTGAGCTGAGAGGAACGAACCCTTTACTTAGAAAATCACTTCAGTATCCTTTCTGAGGCAGGATATATACATGGGGAAAAAATAAAGACTGCAAAATGGACGTGCAAAGGGCCGCAAGAATCTGCTGAAAAGTCAATGGCGTGAAAGGATCGTTAATTTGAGAGCATGTCTCCCACTGCACTCTCGTTTCCTTGTGGGTCTCAGGGGCCCGGCCCATTTGCTGCTGTAACTTGACATAGTCACACAGCCAACATCTGCATAAGAAATTAGGAATTCTGGCAGCAAGAGACACAGCTTACTGATGCCTGAGAGCAGCCTGTGCTGGGAAATGTCTCTCTGGGCCTAGAGATATGAATACCTTCTTTACAGATGGACAAATACAATGTTTCTGGAAGTAGCCCAGGGGTGGGTCACAAGTTGGAAGGTGTTATTCTTCAAGTCGGCCACGCCAACTGAGGACGGCCCAGGTGCCTAACAATCCTGCCCTCTGTGCGGGCGCAGGCCCGGGGATTCCCGAGTACTGCTGTGTGCCTGAGCTCACCTGACGGACACTCCTGTCGGGGCGGCATGAGCGCCACATTTGTCAGCCTAACAAAACAGCCTTTAAAAATGGCATTTGTGCATAGTATGTATTAGGTAACTGCACCCAGAGTAACATTAATTCGTTGTAACAAAAATGCACGTTCTGGTGCCCACAGTGAAAATGCCTGTGTGTACTGGGAGTGAGAAACCAAAGTGCTTTTAGAGACCTTTTTTAACCGCCTGGGTCCCCCATACCTTTTGAGAATTTAATGAACAATCTGGACACTGTAGAAAAACACCAGTCTGCATACCCCCTGAAGACCTACTGACCCTTGGTTTTGAAGGGATCTAAACTTCCACAAGGTACATGGTGACAGTGTTAATTTCCAAACAGGACACACAGTCAGTGTCCTCCTGAAGGTGACTGAGCTGTTTTTCCCAGGCAGAAGCGTGTCGGGCGGCTGGCTGCCGCTCCTCTCAGTAGCTCTGCTGACGGCCACGTGGGTGCTGGCGGCTGGGATCTACCTAATGTGGAGGCACGGTAAGGGATAGAATTCAGTTCTTTCAAGAAACCTGAATGAGGAAATGACCCTTTGAATTTTTTTTAAAGGAGATCCCTCTAGAAGCTATCACGTTTTGGCATTCGGCAAGAGTAAAATAGAACTTACTGCCTTAGAGCTCCCCTAAAAAGACTGGGGCAATCGCTGGATGCCATCTAACACAGCAAAGCAAGGCTCAGATCTCTAGACCTGGTGACTATCACCTGTTTCATGTTTACCCTTGAGATACCTGCAGGTACAGACATGGGCAAAAGACAGCTAAAACAAATTGCATTTTGCCTGGGCTAGGTATTCTATGCTAGTTCCTATTTCAAAAAAACAAATCTCCCAAGGTGTGAAACGCTTACTGGAGTCACATGCTCTAAGGACCTTTCCAACTCTAGAACACTGAGGAATTCAATACAGAAACCCAGGTATTTATACTGATACACAGCTAGAGGGAAGCTCACTGAAGACCTGTTTCTTTTCTGCACATGGAAAAAAGAAAATATAAAAGCAGCCTTTGAAGTCTTCTGTTATGTTGCAGATGGAACAAGATTAGTACCATGATCTGAGCTGAGACAACTCTGACCTCAGGAATACGTCTATGTAGGGGATAGATATCGGCCTGTAGGAGTTTAGAGTATTTTTTCTACAGTCTGTTCTGTAGGGACCACTTAACTTTACGGAACTGTAAGGAAACCACCTGCAGGTGGCAGATGGAACTACTAAATTGAATCAACTCAAAATGTAATGTGAAGGGCAGTGGTCAGGCACTTCCCTGTATATGGCACTAAAAGTTAGTCTAAAATCACAACACCCCACCTAATCAAAGTTCTTTAAACCTAAACAATTTCTATAAACTTATTTGAAAAGATAATGGCTTGATTAAGGGGAATGCTTTAGTGGTAGGGGCTTAGAAAATATATCTTTTAAAGCATCTTTAAGGTTTAAGCATCAGTGTTTCAGGTGATGTGTTCAAAAAGAACATGAGGGTATTTCCATTTGTGGCAGTAACAGCAGGGGTGCTGAGCTGGGCTCCTTTGCAAAGGTTCATTTAGGAGCGATGGCTGAGTGAAAGCCTGCTATCTGCTCTTCATAGGTAACAAATGCTTTTCTCCCCCTGACAGAAAGGATGAAGCCTTCCTCCCCCACTGCATCGGCGCCCCCCATTAAGGTTCTTGTGGTTTACCCATCGGAAATATGTTTCCATCACACAGTGTGCTATTTCACTGAATTTCTCCGAGACCACTGTGGAAGTGAGGTTATCCTTGAAGAGTGGCAGAAAAAGAAAATAGCCGAGATGGGCCCGGTGCAGTGGCTCACGACACAGAACACAGCAGTGGATAAAGTCATTTTCCTTCTTTCCAACGATGTCAACACTGTGTGTGATGAAACCTGTGGCAACTCTCAAGACCTGTTCCCGCTCGCCTTTAACCTCTTCTGCAGTGACCTGAGAAGCCAGATTCACCTCCACAAATACATGGTAGTCCACTTCAGAGAGGCTGATACCAAAGATGATTACAACGCACTCCGAGTCTGCCCCAAGTACCGCCTCATGAAGGACGCTGCTGCTCTCTGCCGAGAGCTTCTCCGTGCCAGGCAGCATGCCGCTGGGAAAAGGGCTGTGAGCCCGCCACAGTAGCTGCTCCTCCTTGCAGCCCACCCACGAGAAGTGAGTGACCTTGAGCCTTCCTACCCATCCCGTTACAGGGGGGACAAAGCATCTGTGGTGATTCTGAAGCTTCCTGTATGGGCTACGTACAGAGGATTGTTTTGTAAGTGCGACACACACACACACACACACACACACTACGTACAGAGGATTGTTTTGTAAGTGTGACACACACACACACGTACAGAGGATTGTTTTGTAAGTGTACACACACACACACACACACACACACACACACACACACCTGCTTTGGCAATAGGCAGGATTCATACACGAATACATAGGCCTTAGATTAGGCACTGTATGCCAGCAGAATTGCTACAGATATTACTAATGATGGTACTACTAGAGAATGGAAACTAGATTTATAATTATAAAGCTAACTTCATACCTGCAAACCAAAAATACTTATAATGCAGAATTGTTAACTGTTCTGATAACGCCATTATCGACCATCTTCCCGCTGAATATCCGCTCCGGAATAGTCCACACACTGCACTGTAGCTAGAACTGTGTAGCTCTGTAACATGTAAGTTTAATGAATACCAAATTTAAGAAGCCCTTATTAATTTATTCAATAATTTCATAGGTTAAAAACCCTTTGCAACACACATCTTTAAGAAAAGAAAAACAGGCAATAAGCTGAACCCATCTTTGCCGACCAGATGACCTGGCATGTGTGTAATTATTTGTATTATCTGGGATTTGCATGGGGCCTTCCCTGTCTGAGCCAGGTCCGTGTCCTACATGACTTCTGTACAGGTCACTGTTGACACGAACCCCAAGACACATCACTTGCAGACCTGATGTCTACTTGTGTCGAAAGTCATGTATTAGGTCACTATCAGAGTTCAGTTTCTTGGTTACTACACAACTTTTCATGTTCAAAACAAGAATCATTCCTGTTAGTTTGGAAGTTAGCCCTTTTGAGGTAATTGTGTTTTTAAGTGAATTATAATGGTTTACTTAAGTAAAAAACTACCAGTTACACATATACAGATGGATGGTAGTATTTTAAGTCTTCCCCAACTTGTTACTTTTATAAAAGCTTCATTTTCCTAGTACAGGGGTCACCAAAAGGTTATTTATATTAACATACATACTTTTTAAGGAATGTTTGGCTTTCACACAGTGTAATACTTAATCTGCTCTACAATGTGGGTCAGTTTTGGGTGGATGACTTAAAATGAATTTGTGGATTATCCTTAAAGGGCCATGCTTCTACAAATACATGCCTTATGGGTAAGAACCAAAATAAAGCAGCATGTATTAAAAACTCACCATGTCCAGCTTGATAAGCAGATACTTAGTAACGGCTGGGGCAGTGTGTTTAATGTGGTAAAGGTCACTTATTTGTCATGATCAGTTTTCACGGTGCTGGTAAGTGCTGGTAACAGAAGATGGACATGGCTTACGTCAAAACTTGGACCAGACACCGACTTCCTCTGAATCAACACTGCCACTAGTAAGAGCAGTATGCTATGCTGTGAAAAACTATTATAAACAACAACGCTTACGCCTTTGGAAGTAGGTAGTCAATACTAAATTGTGTTGAAGCAACCCCAAAACATAAAATGAATACTATGTATTTTAATTCAAAAACTAAAAACTAAAAAATTCTTTTCAAATTGAAGGCACACATCCCAAATAGTACTAGCCAGGTAAGATTTTGTTACACTGGTGAATCTTTTTTGTTCCTAACCTACTTAGCAAATGTGTAGGGTGGTCCTGTTTATGCAGAATGTTCCGGTACCAGCATTTCATGTCTGAAGGCTTCTGATCTTCCTTACTCTTTCTGTCTTCCACTCGGGCCGCCATCTCTTATCCCTGCTTCTCGCTCTTCCCCAACCCCACTCCCGTCTCCAGTCGCTGAGAAGGAAGGCGGTGGAAGCAGGTACCTAGCAGGGAATGGTGGGACTCGGGCATTCTCCCAGTCCGCCCTGGGCCCCGGGCCCCCAGGCTGGGCTCCCTGACTGGTTCTTGAGTCCTGTCTGCAGACAATGCCTTCTCTTCAGGCCAGGGGCTCAGAAGGCTTCACGGAGGCCTGGACCTCTGGTGGAACAGCTGTATTTAATTTTGCGTCAGAGCTCACAGACTAAGGCCAAATGATCTTGCTAAACACGAAGAGCTCCAAAAGCTTCCGCTTGCTTCTTCGGGCGAGGGAACACTGGGGGCTTGGTGCTTAAGTCGGCGGTGGGCACAGCAGTCACTGTGTTTATCTGTGCAACCCAAGTCAACTCTAGATCATACCTACACCATTTGTTTGACTTTAGGAAGAAAGTACATTTTTTCATTTTGCTGTTTTTGACAAAAAAAACCCCTCTTTCCCCAAGCCTACCCGAGAGCATATTGGATAACAAATGCCAGTCAGACCTTAAAGCTGCCTCTGGAAATCTAGGCCTGAATAGGCCCCCAATCTTTATTTTGTAATCCAACAGAAAATGAGTGCCCCCCCGCCCCTCATTTGGTGAAGAGCACGCACGGACCAGACGTGTGCTTGCAGTACTGGACGAGACAGACAACGGCACGACTGAACGGTTCCCGCGGTTCAGGAACACAAGCCACGTGCACCCCTCGTGGCTGCATGAAGAGCAGCTGATGACACTCAGAGGTCACCTTATGTGAAGGATTCGCCGCTGGAGACCCGCCTGATAGCAGCATCTACCACCGGGGAGTGAACCATCGAGGGGGAAGTTCATATTCCTTCTCAAACATCCTGACTACAAAAACAGCTTATAATTTCGCGTCAGTCTCATGTCCTTAACATAAAAGTTAAAATTCATTTATTTGCCATGAAACTTGAGCAGATATCTACACCAACATGTTAAGATACATATATTCCGTAAGAGTCTTATATACCGAGAGGCTTGTTCCGGGTCCTGGGCAGTGCCGCTCTCGGCCCCCGTCACCACACAAAAGCGGCCCGCTCCCGCAACATGCGGACACCGAAGCGCTGCCACTCTCTCTGGTAAACCCACAGCTCCTGCGTCGTGTCCAGACAAGCCAGCACCGCCCCGCCTTTCCACGCAATCAGCCGAGGATCCATGTCCTAGGGGAGTGGTAAAGGCATTCTGGCTAAAGCAGACAAGACATACAATCCTTCATTTGACTCTGGGGGTACGAAAAGCCCGGCTGAGTCAGTACCTAAGAAGCCAGATTTCCAACCTTCATTCAAGACCCATCCTGCCCGACCATGAACTACAGCCATCTTTGTGCTCCAGCTGACAAGAAAACTGTTTAGTTTCTGTGGCTGAAAATGCCACCATTCACTATTATTCCACAAATAGGCCCTATGGGCAGGAACATAAGGGAGTAACTTATTTTGAAGTTTGGGTGCAAAAAATATATCCCATAGTGCCTCCCTCAGGATTAAATTTAAATAAACACATTCCCAGGAACTGTAACATGAAACAGAGAGACATTCTCTTTCTGAATTCCAGGGCTAATGCTTCAAGCTAGTTCAAACCAAAAACACCCTTATACTTCATCTGGTCCAGGGACCAGCAGCAGATTCTTAACAGGCAAAAATGGAGCTCTTCTGGCTCCTTGCCCCACCCTCCGCCCCCCACAGGCAGAGGTCAGGGTGCTAGTTCAGTGGGCACAGCAGGGAATGCCAGGCAGAATTCCACACCCTAGTCCGCAGCTTCTTTAGCCACATCCGAGACCTACCGAAAAAGTTCTCCGCCTGCCCCAAGTCCTCAAGAACCCCCCAGACAAAAGCCCATGCCTCCCAGTATTTTATCTGTCCAAATAATTACAATTAGAAATAATCACTGCTGATTTCATTTACATACAGTCCAGCCCGCACCACGAGCAACCCACCTTGGGCCTTGTGATCACATCTACGTTTTCAATAATTCGCCTGAACGAAGGTGGCATTTTGTTGAGAATTCTGTGCTGCAGAAATTCTTGAGCTTTATGAAACATCAGACCGCCTCCCACCACCAGAATGGAGCTGTACATCTTCTTTTTGGTATCATCAGATGCTGAAAAGACAAGGCTATCCCCTCCACACGTTTTCCCGTGACAACCACCCGGGGCCAAGCCCCCATCGTCTCTTGCCCGGACACCTGCCGAGCCCCTCAGAGCTCCCTCCGGCCCATCCCTAACAACGCAGCCTGAGGAACCCTGCAGGGCTCAAGTGTGGGCGTGCTGCCATCCTGGCCCCTAGCCTGCTGCTCCCAGAACTAGGCCCGCCATTCACACCCCGCCTCCCAGCCACACCGGCCTTCACGCAGGCTTCATCCTCTGCTTGGAATGTCACTCCATCCGTGACAGGCTGACCCCCACTCACCCCCCAGATCCTTCTCAGGTGGCTCGTCCTCAAGAAAGCCTTCTCTGCCTCTGCCCTCCATACCTCTTCCTCTTTAGTAAACACCCCCAGGCAAATCCCTCCATGACAAGCTTGGTCAGCAGCACTCTACAGCATCTGCCACAGTCGTGATGTCACGTTTGTGTGATGATTTAACTTACTGTGGTCTCCTCCACTGGGCTGTGTGCCCAACCAGGCCGGGAACCCACTCTCAACACCTGACAATGCTAGCACAACGCAGGTGCCTGACAACACAGGTGCCTGACAGTTTCTGAATACGCCACGCTGCACAAATGCACCCTAAACCTGACCCAATGCATTTACTTGCTGACCCCCAGCTCCCCTAATGTGCTTACAGCAGCAGTCTATGCTATGCAGGATGGCTTTATCCAGGCCCAGAGCTTTCCCTTCAAACAGTGAGATGGCCGTCTTCCTGGACATCAGGGCAGTGAGGGCCTCCTCAGAATCATTGCCAGCCATCAGACAGTCGCCCTGGGAGGATCCCAAATCCACTTCCTGGGCATGGAGTCTTTCAGGAAGGTCAGAGGACTGGCCACGAAGATCCCCTTCAAACCCAATGGGTTTAGATGCAGACTTTCGGTCAGCAGTAGCTTTTGCAGACTGTTAGTCAATCAAAAGAACGATCAGGGATGCGGTGTGCCTACAACAGAATACTGCTGACATTCTCCAGCTAGATCTCAGCCGCCCCCACCCCACCCTACGACCAAGCCCTGGTGCCCACTCCCGGATAACCTGGGAGGGTAAGGTAGGATACAGATGAGGACGCACTGGGAACTCCCACGCAGACACTGGCAGGCACGCCGGTCTCAGAACCTTAGTATTACCGCTCGGATTTTAGAAATGGTATTACGGCAGTATGGACGGGCGTTCCCTATTGAGCTGGTTTTAAAGTGGAGCATTTCAGTGGGATTCTTGAGTCAGTGGCTGCCATGGAATCCTCATTTTCAGACCTTATCTAACTACTTCGTGCTCGCCTTTGGGTCAGGAACAAAGACTAGAAAAGGTTTACAACCCCCCGTTTCTCTCCTGCATGAATTCCTGCTGTTTCATTACCAGATAAGAGCTTGACTTTGTGCCATCAGACATAGCTTTGGACAAAGGAATTCAGCTCTTTGCTTATGCCATACTTTTCACATTATCATCAAAAAACAAGTGAGATTTTACTATCAATACTTACTATGGGGTAAATATTCAAAAGTAGGTAATGTCGGTAAACAATATATACCAAAAGGGAAGTATCTTCACTGAATTAAGTTTAAAATGTGTCGACTAATACTCTGAAAATTGGATTAATGCCTGCTGAATAAATTTATGTCTGTCCAGATTTTAAATTTAGGCTTCATTTCATCTCCAATTCTAAAAACAGCATCAGCTCTAGCACGGTATCAGATCGCAGTGGTTGCGACGCTCCATTAATCATGGGCTAACTTCTCCTACAGGGACAAAACCATCTCCTCTCACACCGATTACTGCACACCTGCTCCTGCTTGCTCTGCGTGGCCAGCAGGTAATGTTCATCGTGAGGGTCTTCAGGGTCACCCTGCGATCTGTGCTGCAAAGCTGTCATTTTCTGTCCAACGATTCCAAATGTTGCCGGGTAAAACAAAGCCATCGGAGCCTGTGCGTGGGAGAGGAATCAACAGCCCAAGTTACCGCCTCCTGAAAAAACCGATCCATTACGTTCTGTTCTTTCAGAAATAAAACTGCAAGCTGGACTGTGTAAGCAGTCAGTGTCCTTCGGGAATAGCACGATTTCTTCAGTGCACAAGAGGCCAGAAAGCTCACTTGTCAGCCAACTGAACAGGTGAGATGATACCAGAGAAAAGATCTCAAAGCAAATGTACAGTCAGTGCCTATTAACCTCCTTTATTACTCCTAAAAAAATGGTGCCTCTCTCCTTAAGTAACAGCCACGGAGCGGCTAATCAAAAAGATGGTTCTCAAATTTGTTCTAATTTGTACGCAGTGGCTTAAATGTTGGGATAGTGCGTATCTATGACCGGCTGACTTTCTGACCCCACGAGGCTTCCAGAAAGTACATATTCTCTCAGTCTGACTGCACCTGGCTGGCTTTCTATCTACCCAGGAAATATACACCCATTTGTTACCTGCAGTTTTTCATCTCCTAATCGAAACTGGTAAAGTAGGGCCGGGGAATCTGGATGTCGAATCTGAAACTCATGGTCCTGAAGCCCAGAGATGTCCTGATTCCAGGAAAAGACGCTGTCAGTGAATCAGTAAAAGTACA